TGAGCAAATCAACAGATATAGAAAATTCAGACCATAACCTATTCTCACTATGCCATGATAAATTTTAGTGATAAGTATGCATCAATTGAGGTTCTTATGTAATGATTAAATAACTTAGCGTCATTGTATCTTAGACCCAAGTAAATGAAACAGATCACAAACCACAAAGTAAATGTATCTTTTAGACTGCATATGTGGAGTGACTGTCTTTGTATCTATGTATATGTATATGTAAATTTTATAGAATATGATTAATTTGTAGATTCCAAGGGTTTATCCTAAATTCCCTGTAAAATTTGTAAAATCCTTAATGTTAGCATGCCTTTTAATTGTCTCTTGCATTTAATGCCATCAAATAGTGCATATGATGCTTTTAGCCATTGTTTAGTCCTTACTTTGACAGTTTAGCTAAACCAAGAATCTAATCTGAAGAAAGCAAATGCAACAGAGAGCTTCATTGATAAATAACAAATCAGACATACAAACTGGAGTGAGAGAGAGAGAGAGAGAGAGAGAGATAAGCTAGGTACCACCATGAAAGAAACCTAACCTTGCTCATTTTCATGACCTGCTCTATTTATCCCACCAAGAACCTTGTATGCCTCTGAATGAACTGAATCCACCCTCAATGAGTAAATCTTAACACCAGCTTCCAAAGTACAACTGGCCTGGATGAAATATAATGCAACTCATTCTCTAAACATGTAGAAAAGTGTGTTGGTGTTATCAATTACCAACTCCATAATTTCTTTGGCATTTTTTCTCCAGACATATCTAAAAGGTTTTGCATTCACAGTAGTAACCAATGGCTTCAGCTCAACATATGCACAGCAGTTATTCATATTCTGAGAAATGTTCCCTTGAAAATGCACATGCCTTGATTCAGAACAACATCATTCTAGTAACTTCTTGTTTCAGTCTAAGCACCAATTTACTCACTGGAGTTTAAAATTGCAACAACACCAGTAACTAAAAGGAAATGCCTTTCCCAGTAAATAGGCAATAAAACGTGGAAAATTCTGCACTCTAAACTACCGATTATAGCCCCAATTTTTTCTTATGAATTTTTTTCGAATTCAATTTCTGGGGCGATATAGTTTTCTACCATTTTACACATAAGAAAAAAGATAAACATACCTTTTGAAAATTCGTCTCCACATCATTTTCCTCTTCAACCTTAATAATTTCACGAAGATGGTCTATCAAATTCAGCTCCCAAGTATTCTTTTGATTTATTTTCTGCACCCAAAAAGGAAAAACTCAAAATTAAGAACAAAGAAAATGACATTAGAACAATTCAACCACCAAAACTACAATGCTATCACTTAAACCTAAGTTTTCTTAACTAAAAAAGAAATTCACCAAATTTTAAAAACGTTTACTTAAGCCTAAAAAGAGAACTCCTCCTCTTTCTATAATATAAATAATTCAGGGAGAGACAAAGGGGAATTAGATACATTTTCACTGGCCAGTTTGATGCAATTGTGGAACAATTCAAGAATTTGGTCCTTGGCGAGGCAAGGATCTGGATCAATAGGCCGCTGCACATGGGAAGCGACGGATTTTCGGCGGATAGCGGCGGCTCGTGCAGCACGAGCCTGCGCACGCTCGAGTCTGTCGTCGTTGGAGCCCAAGAAGAAGGGGCTTGTGGGGGATTGTATAAGAGAGGCCATAGGGATCCTTTGTCTAGGGTTAGGGCTTAGAGCTTCGGCCATTGGCTTAGGGGTTTAGGCTTTCTTCTTCAACGGATTGGTAGAGCCTGGTTCAGAGCCTGTGTATTTTGAAATGAGGTGAAGCAAAAGAAGAAAGAAGAGTCGTCTTTGGTTTTAAAGTAAAAAAAAATGGTTTCATCTCTTCTTTTCCCTCCAATTTATGCTTTTGAATCTGGATGAGTGAGGAGCAATTTTACGGTGTGACTCTGTGTTGCGCGCAGGGTAACGAGATTTGTGAATCAAGACCGTTTGTTTATTTTACTTTCGGCTCTCACCACGTTTTGACCCTCCAATTTGTTTTGCAAAAATATTTTAGATGCCATTTTTTTTTTTGCTTTTAATAACTGTATTTGTTTTCCAAATCATTATATGTATTTTGTTTTCGAAAGCACGTTTTTAAGAAATTAAAAATATAAAAGAGTAAAAACTGTATTTCGATGCAACACTAAATGCCAACTAAATATTAAAATAATATTAAGACAATAATTTCATTTTATGAATTAAATTATATAATAATTATTTTTACTTTATTATAATGTCACGATATAATTATTTTATTTTTTTATTTTGTTTTGTGAATTAAAGTACAATAAGATCTTTATTTTCAAAAAATTGACACTTTCTAAATATCAAACGTTTTTATAATAAAAAATGTATATAATTCTTGTCATTCAAATTTGAACAAGTTAATTCTTGTATTTTCACATTGAGAATAATTTATGATAATTGTTAACATTTATAATATTTTGTGAACAAATCAATAAGTGTAATTTATATATTATTTTCATCCTAACATGGATTTTTTTGAATAATTATTTTTAATTTTATTGGAAAAATAATTGTTAACCTTCGACATTTTTATAATTGTCCTTACATCATTTTATTCTACTAGTATATCTTTTTTTTAATATTTTTTATTTTTTTTTCAATTCATCATCAATTTCATCTTCTTATCGCTACCTTGCTTCTATCAACCCCACAATGCACTACTATCCAACCATCGAACTGGCCTTCATTGGCTAACCTATCACGGTTAGTAAGCCACATATATAGCCATCTAGACCATATTGGCTTGGTTTTTTTTAATTAAAAAATTATTATAAAATTCTTATAAAAAATGATAATTTTTAAATTAAGTTAAAATTGTATGGTAAATTTATTTTTTATGAGCTCTTTTTTTATAAATAAGCTGTTTAATAAAATAATTTTTGTAAACTCTAATTTGATTAAAATCATTACAAATGTTATTTAATAAATCAGGAGAAAAAAATTAAATCAAATAAAAAAAGATGAGTGTGAAAAAAGTATAATTTTCCCTATAATGTTATGAATTGTTGAAAGATAAAAGAAGAATATAAAAAAATATTTATTGTTATTTTTTAAAAATTGATTTGAAATTTACAACCTTTGAAACTGAACAAAACTAATGTCACATATAAGAAAGAGAATCCACAAAAGGAAAAAAAAAAAAGCCTAAGGTAATATTAATAATGGGTTCAACTAGTTAAGAAAATTAAGTTTAGCCATTGATTTGGCAACTCATTTTCCTATTGAAATCATCAATGTTAATTCTATGCAAGTCTATGAAGGCCATAATGTCTTCACTAACAAAGTTTCCCTCCACAAACAAAAAAATGACACATATTGTTATATCTAAAAGAAAAAATTCTTCAAAATTTAGTTACTACAAACGAGTACAAATACTAACTTTTCAATTTTCATTTAATTTATTGTAACAATTATTGACTTATTTGATTAATTATTTCAATCATTATCAATAAATATTATATACACTATAAAAAAGTTAAGAACAAAAAAACATCATATAATTATTTATCAAATAATAAATTGAAAAATATCAAACAATAAAGAAAGTTTTCAAAGTTAAAAAAAAAGTGATGAAAAATAAAATGAAAAACAAAACAGAAAGAAAAAGAAGAAACAATATCTTAATGCAGTTTTGAATTTTAAATCGTTTTTTTTTAAATTTTTGTAAGAATAAAAAAACCCTGAAAGGATGATTTGTAGAAAAAAAGAAAAGAGAGGGAGATAGATAGGGAGGGAGGGAAGGGTTATTTTTTGAGGGAGGATCTTTGTGGGAAAAAAAAAGTGTTCTAAGAAGAAGGCACTTTAAAAAAAAATTCTTATTTAAATTTTTTTTTAAAAAAATGTTTTTTTAAAGTTATCAAAAAATACTATTTAGCTCAACTTTTACTTTTAAGAAATAAATAAACTAAAAATAAACTATGCCAAACAAATACCTAACCTCAAATTTAGTTGTTTGACAACTTTTTCACTCTCCCTTTGCTACATAGGTATGTGAGGAGAATGTGATAACCTAAACTTTACACTAGATACAATCTTATAGAAATTGGGGTTTTACACTTTCTAAATTGAGTTACTTAAATTTTATAGAAATTAAGCTAGTTAAATGTGAGATTGAAAATTCTAAAGCGTCTAGCTTTTAATTAAAAATTTTAAAAGTACATAACTGATCATGAAAATTTAACGATACATAGCAAATCAATTTGTTGGTGGGAGTTTGGATCCATCCAATACACGGATGAAGAATACGTTATATGGACCTCTGGTCAATTGATAACAGCTTTTATGAGAATTTGACTCGCTTAAATGTATCATCGAAAGTTTGAACTTCATTACATAATATTGAGGAGGAATGTTAACTTTTTTTAATGTGAAATAATCTTGGTATGTGCTGAATATATTTTAAAATGACTTATTTTGAATTCAAAAGAATATTATTATGGTAAGATTTATCAATATAAGATCTATTTCTACATGAACCATTGTCATATGTGGAGTATCATTCCAATGTATGTTTATTTATACAATTATACATATTTAAGAGTCTTAATTTAAAAATCATTGAATACTAAAATGCTACACATAATATGTTGATAAATATTTATATTATCAAAAATATAAATAATCAAGATTAATATATTATATTATAATTTATATGATGCAAATGGAAATAAATTGAATAAATTTGTAAAATATTGATTTCCGAAAATATCAAATATTATGAAATGCAAATGATTAATAATATATAATACCATATTAAAATCTCTGGAAGCTGAAAAGTACTATTATCACGATTTTGTATTTACCTCACTTGGTAGTATGATAGATACTAATCATGTCATTATCATATGATTGTCAATAGATTAGTCATGTATCCTGTTTTAGTTAAAACTTGTCGTAATCTTCTTACTTTCAATTAGAGTAAAAACACAGCGTGACTTATGCTCGTGGCCGTAAGCTTAATATCGAAGCACCTAAGTCTATATTAATTCTTGCATATTAACTTAAACATTAATTAAAGAAAAAAAAAAAAGGAAGAAGGGGGAAATCATCTTCCTCTTATCTGAAAGCTTTAATGAAGAAGAAAATGGTATCTTGTGTGCTATCTGTGTTTTTCTTCACAAATAAATGGTGGTCAAGGTGCTGCATGAAATACAGAATCAGCATCATGAAGATCGACGGAGCGATCAGTCAACAGGCGCACGGCTGCCCATGGTGTGAACTTCCTTGCAAATAGAAAACAAGGTGCAATCGTAATATTAACATGGCACAACTCTTTGCGGTTCTCAGAGTCAGAGTAAACATGGTTGATGACCTGTGCCAATTTGGGCAGCATTCTCAAATCTAGGGACTGATAGCAAAAATGACAATTCCGAGATATTTACTTGGCATAAAGCTAGCCAAGGTTCAATCACTCACCTTTATTTCTTGGATTAGTTGGGGACTTGCATCAGCATGATTGAACCTAAAAGGGTGCCAAGACCTCCTTTCCCCTCCTTCAGCAGATTGATTCCATAATGAGTAGGTCAATGTCCTCCTTTCAAGCTCATTGTCAAGCCCACTCATCTACTTGTAGAAGTAGAAGCGGGTAGCCACATTTGAATGGAATGCCCAGAAAGTAAAATTAAGGATCATATATAGAGGAACAATTCATTCATCTGAAGAAATTCAAGCTTTGATACAGTCGGTTACTTACTTTGAACAGCGTCTGGACGTAGTGTTCATCAGGTATACAGTTATGGCCATTCTGAAATACCTCCTAGGCAATCGCTGACAACATCAATCACTTGATTGAACCAAAAAGAAATTATTTGTATACAAATATAAATGTTGGATACACAATTATTTTGAATTGTTTATCAGGAATATATATATGGCAAGACTTTGTTAACTTACAAAAGCCTGCAGTATCTGCCTTCTCTTTATTAGGTCTGCAGGCGGCCAACGCTGAACATAAGCAACATTACTACATACAATGATTAGTTGCATTCAACTGCCATAGCATCAAGACAGCATCCTAGAGTAGTACTCAAATCAGAGGAAAATTGAGGAGCATGGAAGATAAGGCTTTCTGTACCTTACAAAATTTCTTGAAAATCGGAAAAACGATATCATCCTCTATGACAATTACAGCATGTCTTCTGATCAACGCGATCCACTGAAATCATTAAGTAAAATTTTCATCATAGACAAATTAAAATGGACCGATTGGACAAAATGCAGTTCTATATTCTGAATTACAGAAGATTTTGGATGAACAGGTTATTAGTGCAGGAGAGTATAGAACTGATTGCTCTCAACCTGTCAGCTCAAAGTTTAACGGTGAGTGCTTTGTTCACTAAGATATTAGTAGATTGTATTGGATCCAACAAATTTTTCTGTTAGAAATGGAAAAAGGTGCTCCTTTTCTTAAAACTTATTTTAAGATCCTTTTCAAGATGCATTCAACTTGAGAAATATAGCTTCCTATAATAGTAAGATGAAAAATGGACAGGTAAAATAGATAAAAAAGGAAGAACCTGAGATCCTTTCCTCCATTTTTCCTTTGGTATGACAGGAGACATCTCAGGACCGTAGCGATTTTCTTTAACATCAATAAAGCTACACACAACAGACTACTGAACATTCAGCTTAACTACTGCGTAAGCTATGAATTCAATTACAAGATTTTGTTACATATATACATCACTAAGAAAATTCATTTTGATATTCTCTAACATTCCATATACCTGTCCACAAAGCTTTTTGAAGAAGACGTTAAGTAGCTGTAAACATAGCCAAAACTGTACAAGGGTATGCAGCTGTAAAATAGACAAAGGATAGATCTAAGGATTATTGACTCATATGCAGCTAGTGCAGGGTAAAAACTTCAAGAGTGAGTTTATCTTTTACTAGTCCCCCTCTTCCGACCACTAACCTATCCGAGAGAAGAACGAATCTCTGATTTGCCGGATCATCTAGAGCAGCTTCAAATAGTAATCTCTCTGCTTCTATCATACTTGATTCTCCCCATTCTACCTGGAAGATGAATATTGTGTGTGTGTGTATATATATGTATATATATATTGTGAAAAACCAAGCACTTTGGATCCAAAGGATATGAATGAAAGCTACTGAAATTAAAGTAGATAAATTATTGTACAAATTGTAACAGGTGAATGCTATCCAACTGTAACTACGGTAAACCTTTTAGGTTTGTTATGATTTCAAGTTCATGCTAACTTGAAAGAAAAGAAATCCCAAGACTTCAGCACAAGTCTAGACTGCTGGTAAAGGGATTAACTGAGGAGAGGTTTTGATCTATAAATATATATTTTATGGGATGGCCAAGGCCCTAATATGCATTACACCTGTAATGGTCTTGAAAATCTTGCTCACGCCAAATGAGAGCAGGGGCGCATATATGTTATTCTACCACCTGTGTTAACATGATCTCATAGTAACGCTTGATTTGTGGATCCAAGGGGTATGGCCATGAGGAATCTTCCTTAACTATATATAAGATCACAAGTATTCGTCCTTTCTCTAAGGGCGCATCTCAGTCAAACTTTCTTATTCCTCTTGTTTTCTCTCATCTTCAGCCACAGATACCAACTTAATCATCAGAGGGTTATTGCTGGATCAAAATTGAACTGTCCTATTTCAGACCAGATGCTGTTCAATTTAAGAAACTTATCACCTGATCACACTATAAATCAAGTCATCAACAATACACATCCTAGGTTAAGTTCCTGGGATTCTCCATCTTACAACCTATTCGGACTCATAGCAGGATACTTGTTGTTTGTAAAGCAATGCAACTTTGCAAAGTATTTGCACGAGGTATATTCGGAAACTGAGGCTTACGGATCGACATGGATTAAATTAAGGAAGTACCTGGATGCTGTTATTCAACTGCCGACCATAAAAGAAAGCTGACCT